AAAAGAGCACTCAACCAGAAGTCAGGAGACCTGCATTCTCACACCAGCTTTGTCATTAAGCAGACACGTAATTTTAGGCAAGTGACTTCATTTCTCTGGGTCTTAGTTTACTCACCTGTAAAAATGAAGGCATCAGATTAGGTGATTTTTCCAAGGCCTTTTCCAGCCCTGATAGTCTATAATTATGTAATAACATACCATGCTTTTCTGCGTTGAATATCTTTTTAATCTGTACATTCCCTTAGATGTATTTTCATCAAGCAATATGCAGTTTCCCTGGCATTTAAGCTGTTGCAATTCATTTGATGACCAGTGGGACATGAGAAAACAATTTTAAAGAACTATGGCATATGGTAGAGACCAAATAAAAGGTAGGGGAGAATTATCAGATAGAATTTGAGCAGTCATTAGAAATTGAAATTAAATTGTCCATCTAAAGTAGGAAATATGATTAAGGACAATTTCAATTAAGCCTGAAAATGTCTACTGCTATGAAAGGAAAGAAAACTCTTCGCACATTAAGACTGCAAGTATCACTTTGGAATTAAACATCGCTAATTAATATTTCCAAGGCTCTTTGCTCTATTCCATTGGTCAGGGCTATTTTTACTGCTGGATCCTTTCACAGATGCCATGCCCCACAGTGCTTCCAACTTGGAAAGGCATGGCTCCATAGGCTGTGGAGGCTTGACCATCATTCCTCCTGTGGATTCCTTCTGTAGTTAAGAAATTTGTTGGTTTCTTATTTTAATGGAAGCAAACAAAATGTGCACATATTTGTAAGGATCATATATTATTATATGTATAAAACAACTTTTTTTTAAACAATTGTAATGTGCCCTATAAAGGCAGAGGCATCTGGTGGCAGGTAGATAGAGCACTAGGCCTGGAGTCAGAAAGACATGAGTTCAGATTTGGCTTTAGACACTGCACAATGCTAGGCATTACTCGACCTCTGTTTGCCCCAATTTCTTCAACAATAAAATGGGAATAATAATGGCACCTACCTCTAGGGGATGTTATGAAGATTAAAGGAGATAATATTTGTAAAAAATAATGCTTAGTACAGTGCACATAATAGACACTGTATAAAGGTTCACTTCTATCTCCACCTTGTTTTTATTATTGTTAGGCACTGAGAAAGATACAAATCCTGCCGTTGAGAAGCTTACAATCTAGTACGGGAGGTAAGATGAACATATAAATAACCATGATACAAATTGGTATCACAGATTCTTAGAATTGAAAGGTACCTAAGAGGCTGTTTAATCTAACCCTGGACCAAGAATCCCTTCTACAAGGGATTGTAGAACCCAACAAGTGTTCATCCAGTTTGAAGACCTGAGGTAAGGGAAGCACATTCCTTCCTTCTGAGGCAGCCTACCTCCCATTTTTGGAATGGTCTAATTGTTAGAATGTTTACCCTTACTTTGAACCTCAATTCATCTCTTAACAACTTGCACCCATTTCTCCAAGCTCTTCTCTGTGGGGTCAAGCAGAAAAATGATCATCTCTCTTTCTTGTGACAAGTCATCAAAAGCTTGAAGATTGCTATCTCCCCACCCCCACCCCCAATTCTTTCATTCTCATGGTTGAATGTCCTCAGTTCTTTCTACCAACCCTTCATAGTTCACGGCTAGTGCCTCCCCTTTTGAGACTGTTGTTGTCAAGTCAGTTCAGTCTTGTGTGCCTCCTTGTGACCCCATTTAAGGTTCTCTTGGCAGAGACACTGGAGTGGTTTGCCATTTCCTTCTCCAGCTCATTTTACAGATGAGGAATCAAGGCAAGCAAGATGAAGTGACTTGCCCAGGGTCACATAGCTAGTGTTTGAAGTCAGATTTTAAGTCAGAAGATGAGTCATCCTGACTCCAGGAACAGCATTCTATCTAAGCCATCTAGCTACCCGTTGTGATTACCTTCCTACTACTCTCTCTGTCTCTCTTTCTCTGTCTGTCTGCCTGTCTCTCTCTCTCTCTCTCTCTCTCTCTCTCTCTCTCTCTCTCTTTCTCTCTCTCTCTCTGTCTCTCTCTCTCTGTCTCTCTCTCTCTCTCTCTCTCTCTCTATATATATATATATATATACATATATGTATATATATATATATATATATATATATATATATATATATACATATGTATATGTATATACCTTGTCATCTTCATGTTTAGTTCCCTTAATTAGATGATGAGGTCCCAGAGGACAGGAATAATTTGTGCTTTTCTCCATATCCCCCACCCTCAGCCCAAGGCCTGGAACCTACAAAGGATTTACTAAATGGTTGTTGGCTGACATGGGATCTAACAAGGGCAGAGTACTGTGGGTCCATCACCTCCAGTGTTATGAACATTCCACATCTCGTATGACATTTAAGATCACATTTGCTTTTTTTGGATTGTGTCTCACCAATGACTCATTGTTGACTCAACTCAGTTCAAAAAACATTTATTAAACATCTAGTAAGAACAAGACACTGTTTTAAGTGTAGAGTATATGACAAAAATAACAAAATGGTCCCTATCCTGAAGGTGCTTACATTCAATTAGGATAAATACGTATATATACAGAGACCATGGGAAGGAAAAATAAGTCTGCAGCAGTCAGTAAGACCACAGCTGTGGGGGGACTTTTGATGTCATGCTGAGGAGTTTGTACTTTATCCTGGAGGCAACAGAGAGACACTGAAACTTTTTGAGCAAAGGAATGATACAGTCAGACCTGTGTTAGGCATCAGGCAGCTGTGGTGGTATTGGACAAGAAACCAAACTTCCACATTTTTTTCAGAAACCTTGCTGTTTAGGTGGGCCTTCCTCTGCTTATACATCTTATACCACAAAAGCTATTAAGATTTAATAGCTGAAAACTGACTTTTGGGACAACCTGTATCTGTGAAGTGAATTCTTTTGAAATTGTGTATTACATTCATATCCACTTAATTTCTTCTCATCAGATTGGTTCCATTCTTGTAGAGTATCAAATACTTTTTGGATCCTCACTCTTTGTCATTCTATGTACTAGGTGTCCCTCTCAGATTGTGTCATCTGTACATTTGTCAATCATACCACTGTGTGTTATGTCATTGATAATAGTGTTGAACTGCACTGGTCAGATCCTTGAGAGATTCCATTTAGAGAGCACCTTCAAAGTTGACGTGGAACCATTCATAGGTTTTGGGTCCTGTGATTCAAATACTTCCACATTTACCTAGATATCCTGTCATCTAGCCTGCATTTCTTTATTTGGCACACAGGATAGCACCAAAGAGACTTATCTAAATACATTTCTGGCATCTAGGTAAACTTAAGTTTCTAGTATTTTTCTGATGTGCTGATCTCATAATCCTGTCATAAGAAGAAATCACAGATTTAGAGCTGGGATGGATCTTGATGTCATCTAATCCAACTCCTTCATTTTTATATGGAAAAAAAAAACAGATCTCCCAGAGAAGTTAAATAACTTTCTTAGGATTCTATAGGCAGAAAGTGACAGAGACAGGATTTGAAAATCAGGGACTCTTTGCTCTTAAATATAGTGATCCTTCCACTACACCACATTACCTCTTTATGACCTGTTTCTAATGAAGCCATTTGTGTTCATAGTTTTCCTTTCTATGAGGACAAAAATCATCCCTTTAATCATATATTTGAGAACTTTTCCAGGAACAAAATCAAATCCCATTACCTTATAGCTCAGAGACCACATTCCTTCTGAATTCTGAAAATCAGAGCATTTGCCCTTTTCCAGTCCTTTCACATGCTTTCCATTCTTCATGACCACTGCATTTAGAGATCATCAGAAAGACTTCAGGAATCACCTCCATCAGTTGTTTCTATAACCTGGAATGTAATGCCCCTTGATTAAGTGACCAAAGTGCATTGAGGACAGCTTGTGGCTTTCTTACTTTATCTCCTTACTTATCTTGGGTTTCTACTCCCTATTAATCCTTCTTGCTCTATTCTTTCACTGCAAAAATCACTATCCTTGGCAGTAAAAAGATAGAAACAAAATAAGAATTGTATCATTTTGCCTTTTAATAAGAGAAACACAAAATATTATTGGAAAACAGAGATATGTCCAGACAATCCACAGGGTTTCAAATAATTTTAGTGCACTGTACACACATGGGGAAGTAGATCTCATGGGACATATTATCTCAACAGCTGAATGTAGGCCAGACTGGAGTGGGGAGAGACTTGAGGCAGGGAGACCAAGCATCAGGCTATTATAGTTTTCTAGGTCTAAGATGATGAGATCCTGGGCAAGGATGATGGCAGAGTCAGAGGAGAGAAAGGAGAAAATAAGAGAGATGAGAATGTACCAGCAGAAAGAAGGTTTTCTAGAGTGATAGCATTTGGAGGATGGCAGAGATGAGGGAGGCGGGGCATTTCATGCATTAGAAGGAGTGTGAGGGAAGACACAGAGTTAGGTAAATAAAAGACTTGTCTTTGGGCATGATGAAATTATGGAAGAGACTGTGGTTTGGGGATTGATATTCTAATTTTATTTTTGGCATTGTCAGAGATTCTTTGTGTAACTTTAAACAGATCCTTCACCTCTCTCTTCCAGGCACGTCTAAGTGTTACCTGAATCCATAGATGGGGCTTTAATAACAGTTGAATGTCAGTCTGTGACAGCAGAAGTTTCCAAGAGTTTCATATTGAAGAACTGTGCAGATATTCACAAGGAGATAAAAATGAATGGGGGCAGTCTTAGGGAGCTGGGAACTCAGAGGCTAACAAGATAGATAGAGTACAGTGGATAGAGCACTAGATTTGAAGTTGAACCTGCCTTCAAATTTGGACTTTGTCCCTTATCATCTGTGTGACCTTGGACATATTACTTAAACTTTCTGGGCATCAGTTTTGGGAGTTGGACTAGATGGGCTCCAAGGTACCTTCTAGCTTTAAATCTATGATGCTATGTTGTTGATCCTTCCCTAAAGCATATTTGGAAACCCTAGTATAGGTGCAATCACATTTCTGTTTGCTCGCATTGTCTTGCAGCGTGAGAGAACGCTGCCTGGAGGAACAGAAGAGACGGAGGCAACGGGCCACCAAGAAAATTAGCACCTTCATTGGGACGTTTCTGCTTTGCTTTGCACCATATGTAATTACAAGGTAAGTCAAGCTGTGTGGGACTTCTGCATTTTACTGATCCTAAACCACTAAGCTTGTGTATGTGTGTGTGCATGCGTGCTTGTGTGTGTGTATGTGTGTGAGTGTGTGTGTGTGTGTGTGTGTGTGTTTCATCTGTTTCCACAAAGACTTACACCAATTCTCTCACATAATAAAACAGAGAGGAACCATAGAATAATGGATAGAGTCTGGACAGCCTTGTTTCAGCTTCCACATCTAACATCTACTAGCTCTATGTGACTCTGGGCAAGTCACTGAACCTCTCAATGCCCTAGATAGCTCTGTAAGACTATAGATTGCAGGTAAGTTTCCTGTATGCATCAGTAAATGAGTTTCCTCACCAAGGAACCTCTATGCTGATGAAATCTCAGTGAAAACAAAATAGGATATGGAATTTACTTTGGGGAAAGGGATGATGATGATGATGATGATGATGATGATGATGATTGAAAGGATAAGAAGAGGACTGAGAGGAACCTTCAGAAGGCCAGAGTTGTAGAAACCCTCTTTATATATAGTGGCTTTTATGCCAAAATAAGGCCTAACCTGTGCTGGTGGGTTATAATGTATGCCAATGTGAGCTCAGTCAACTTGCCCTTACCTCCTAGTCACCAAGCCTTTCTAACCCGAGGGCATTGCCTCATTCAGTGGAATAACTAATAGTAAGACTTCAGGACTCTGGCCGGTTTATATAGCAGAAAGGGAATCATGCTTTGGCCTCAAATCACAGCATCAGAAGCCGCTGTCTCAACTAATCCTGCTAATTTGAATAGAGTCAGTGTGGTATAATTGAAAGAACCCTAGATTTGTACCATGAGGAATTGGATTCAGATTCTTATGTCATTCATAACTACCTCCATGATCTTGGGTAAGTGACTTGACTTACCAGCTCTAGGTTTCAGTTCCTTCATCTGTAAAATGAGAAGGTTGGACCAGAAGATTTCTAAGATCCCTTTAATAATAATAATCCCTTTAATAATAACAATACCCTGTTGGAAAACAGAGATATGTCCAGACAATCCACAGGTTTTCAAATAATTTTAGTGCACTGTACACACATGGGGAAGTAGATCTCATGCAACATATTATCTCAACAGCTGAATGTAGGCCAGACTGGAGTGGGGAGAGACTTGAGGCAGGGAGACCAAGCATCAGGCTATTACAGTTTTCTAGGTCTAAGATGATGAGGTCCTGGGCAAGTGTGATGGCAGAGTCAGAGGAGAGAAAGGAGAAAATAAGAGAGATGAGAATGTAAAATTGATAGACCTTGTCGATAGGTTGGAGATGGGAAGGACGGTGGGGATGATGAGTTGATGATGACATGTTTCAAGTGTGGGTGACTAGGAGGACAGGAAGGGAATACGTGTTTATTAAGTGCCTACTATATTCTAGGCACCATACTAAGTGCTTTGTAAAATTTTCCCATTTGATGATGGATGGTGGTATCACACCTCCATAGTAATATGAAAAATAGGAAATGGGGAAGTTTTGGGAGGGAAAGATAATAAATTAAGTTTTGGACATGTTAAGTTTAAGATTACAGGACATTTCTAACCTCACCTTCAAATAAACACCAAAGGTTCAAGACCTTTGATTCCTTCTATAAACAACAAATAAAGAATTTTCTCTGCCCTGAGAACCATCTCTATATGTGCACCACATTACCAACACCAGGCTTCCTTTGCCTTTTGATAGGTGGTTTTCAGTTCCTAACTAATTCCTATCGCAAACCTCTAATTAAATATTCTCTGAAGCGTAATGCAAGTGTCTAAAAAGGATTTGTTAGGGTGTGTTATCTCTCTAACTATATACACTTGAAAATAATTAAGGTTCTCCCAAAAATCATCTGAATTTTGAAGCATTAAGGCATTTGATGATCCGACAGCACTATTATTGTATCTTTTCAAAGTAATGGAATTATGCAGATGGTAGAAGAATTTAATATACAGGTGGCCCTGAAATATTAATATTCTATTAATAAAATGTCTTCTTTTCCATTCTAATGTTTCACAAAAATCAAAAATGTCAGCTTAGACCTTTCCTTTCTTCACAAATACAAAATAAATTCTTTAACCATTTTTGGAAGGTCCCAAGATTGCCTCACATGGAATCCATGTGTCACTTTGTTTTTTGCTACATGCAATATGATGGAACAAGTCATGGGGGAAGGTGTGACTACAGGGAATTTAAGTTTTATTAGATTTTTAAAAGAAGTTTGTTTTCTTTGTTTTTATATCATTTTCATTCTTTTCCAAATGTAACCCTCCCTTTCCCAAAGAGCCATCTCTTGTAACAAAGAATAAAAAAGAAAGAGGGGAGCAAAGCAGCTCACCAAAAACTAACCAATGTATCATTTCAGTCTGACAGTCTATATAATGTTTCCTTAGCCATAGTTTCCCACTAATGAAAAGAAGGGAGGGAGGTGCATTTCAGGGACAAGATTGGTCATTATATTTACATAACATTTAATTTTGGTTCTTTTCATTATTAGTTTTTACACTTATACTGTTAACATAGTTTTATTGATTCTGTTCATTCTATTTTGCATCAATTCTTCTAAGTCTTCTCATGTTTCTCTGAATTCTTAATGGGAGCATTTTTTAAATTTACCACTTTCAAGGTAGTGCTCTGAAACACTATTCGTCAATGAATATGCAAAAAACATTTCTACATTGGCATTGAATAAATTTCTAAAGGACTTTGAATTTAAATTCTCCTGTAGCACAGTACCTTTCTCTTTTAGTGGTATTATCAACTTTCCAATTACTCAGAACAGAAACCCAAGTCATTTCTATCTCTTCCCCTATCCAATCAGCCTACAGAAGGCAAATCATTTGCCAAGTGTAGCACAGCTAATGGGCAGCAGAACCTACAGTTTAAACCGGTCTTCTGACTGGGTTCAAATGCTCTTTTATAGTACACCACAGCTTCCTACACATCCTAACAGTTATGGGTAACAGGACCAATTCATTTATGCTTCTGAATTCTTCCCCTTTTCCATGAGGAACTCTTTTTCCAAACATGGTAGACCAAATGACTTTCAACAACACTTACTCGTGACATCTAGACAATCTATGATTTTACCTTGTGAAGCAATTCTAGGAATATTTCTGACATGAATAATTCTCTCTCATTGTCTATCAGTTCCTAATTGCGGAGAAATTAATGGCTACTTAATGGATTATATAATCTCATCTTCTTTTTTTAAATTTTATTTATTTATTTTGATTTATCAACAATCACTTCCATATGCTTTTGAGTTTAAAATTTTTCTCCCCCTTCCTCCCCACCACCCTCCCCAAGACAGCACACAATCTGATATAGGCTATACATTTACATACCCATTAAACATATTTTCACATTAGTGATGTTGTAAGTAAAAATTAAAACCAATAGGAGGAACCATCAGAAAGAGGAAACAAAGCTCAACAGAAGAGAAAAAAAAATAATAGCGATTCAACTTCCATAGTTCTTTCTTTGGATGTGGATAGCATTTTCCAACACAAGCCCTCTGAAGATGTCTTAGATCCTTGCAATGCTGAGAAGGGTTCAGTTTATCAATATTAGTCATTGTACCACATGGCTGTTATTGTGTACAAAGTTCTCTTGGTTCTGCTCACTTCACTCAGCATCAGACCATACAAGTCTTTCCAGGTTTTTCTGAAGTCAGCCTGTTCATCATTTCTTATAGCACAATAGTATTCCATTACATTCATATACCACAACTTGCTCAGCCATTCCCCAATTGATGGGCATCCTCTCAATTTCCAATTCTTTGCCACCACAAAAAAGAGCTGCTATGAATATTTTTGTACATGTGGGTCCTTTTCCCATTTGTATGAGGTCTTTGGGATATAGCCCTAGAAGTCCTATTGCTGGGTCAAAGGGTATGCACATTTTTATAGCCCTTTGGGCATAGTTCCAAATTGTTCTCCAAAATGGTTTGATCATTTCACAACTCCACCAATAATGTATTAGTGTTCCAATTTTCCCACATCTCCAACATATGATATCATCTTCTAAAAGAGAAATTGACTCTGATAATGTTATTTAGGATAGATGGGAGGATGGAAAGACATGAGAAAAGCAGACTGCTTAGGGGGCTATTTCAACAGACCAAGTTAGAGGGAATGAGGTTACAAGCCAGAATGGTGGCAGTGAGGATAGAAAGGAGATAACATGTGTGAGAAACAATGTCAAGGGAGAATTGAGAGGATTCAATTATGTAAGATGGGAAGAGTTGAGAAGGGAGAAGTTGATGTTCACTCAGGTTTCCAGTCTAGGTGACTGACTAGATTGTAATGGCTTTAAAATACAGAACATACAGTGGAAGGAACAGGTTTTAAGAGTGAGTAACTTCAGCTGAATTTAAAATATCAGTGGGACATGTAGATAAAGCTGCCCATCAGGTAGTTGGAAAAGCAGATCTGGATCTCACAGGAGAAATCAGGGCTACAGATGAAAATTTGGGCATCATTCCCATAGAAGTGATAACTGAACCTATGATAGTGGATAGTATGACCAAGAAAGAAACAAGAGAGAAAAAAGAAGAGAATCAAGGACAAGACCTTGGGGAACACTCACATTTAGGGATAAGAAAGAATCAGAAAGCACAGTTAGAGAAGCAGGAGTGTTTTGGGTCACAGAAGCCAAGGGAATGAGAACAATGGTCAGCCATGTCAGATGCTATAGAGTGTTCCAGGAGGATAAGGAATAGCAAAAGATAACTAGGAAGAATTTTTTTAACTGTTATTTTGGCAGCTGTATGGAAGATGGTTTGTAGAGGGAAAAAATTGAAAACCAAGAATCCAATGAGAAGGCTATTTCAGGTTGGGCCTGGGAAAACAGACCTCCATTGAATATGACCAGGATACAAAAGGGTCCTTATCCCCCTATCCCCTGTCTGGAGCTGGCACCCTGAATTAAACCATACAGAGGTCTTGGATATTTGGGATCAAGGAAAGGGGGAGTACCCCACCTCC